AAAAAATGCACCCTCCTGCCTTTCAAATCTGGACGCCATCTTGGATTGGGGGCACCAATTTTGACCGGGGGGTTGTTTTGACTTCAAATATGAAATCTGCGACCAAAATTACATGGAAAACGATACCTCACATGACAGGATATGCACAAGTGAAAATACCGATATTCCGGAGGCCTTATTATGGGCGCCATTTTGAATTTTAGGCATTTTGAGGGGTGCTCCGGGATCGGACAGTGCTAGCATTTTAGGATACTGTTTGAGAGAACCTATCAATGACGTTTACACAGGTTTTGATCACATTTTACATTGTTAACGGCGTTCTCACGATGATCCAACGCGAAAATTCGGCAAAACATAGCGAAATCAGGGCCCCCTGCCCCCCCGGCCCCCATGGCCTCAGAATTTTGGGCTCACTTGCGAAATTGAACCTTCTATAGGTAAAGATGATATCCTGAAAGTTTCATGCTTCCTTCCAGAAATGCACGATTCTGAGAACTTTTTCCCCTTATCCGCCCTACTACTTACGGTGATTCGACGGACGCCATTTTTTGTGTCAGAGCGACGTGCTATATATCGCATCGATTCGGCTATCAGTTTTTACTTGTCATTTTTTTCCAAATTTTGAGATCGTACTTATGTTGTCATGAGACTAAAGAATTCACATACCTAATTTGACACATAAATTCAACGTAATAAAGGCAAGGTTTTTTTTTTAGAGGAAAAATATCGCATTCAGACGATGACTTACACCAAATTCACAACCAACTGTTTGAAAATATGTGTCTGGATATGAAACCTAGCTATTCTTCAAGTGAGTTTACGATTAAAATTTCAACACTAAATAGTTTATTGTAAAATTCCCGTAAAATCCCATGTATTTGAGGTTACGACGAAGAAAGCCATTGGTCATCTCCACTCCCCGCCCACCTATCGAACGACCGCTCCATGTATGTCACATTTTTCGTAGGCCACCACCAATCTACAATTTCTAGATTGTTGTCTCAAACAATGGTCACCTGGGGCTAGTGGTAAACGTGAGATTAGCCAATGGGCTATTTGAAGCCTGGCAAAAAAAAAAAAAAAAAAAAAAAAAAAAAAAAAAACCCGCGTATCGCGTATCGTACTGCTGTGCTAAGGAAGAACGCCGTATGAACATTCGAGAGTTGCCAAATTTCCCCGGATAAAATATTTATTTATGAGAAAAATTATGTACATTTTTCCTTGAAATTTTCAGGAACTTTAGATCAAAATACAAAGAATATTCCCTGAAAAATTGGAAGAAAAATATTCATAAGCTTACCAGGGAATTCGTGTTTTATCGAAGAAAATTTGGCAACGCCTGAAGGTTCATAAGGCGTTTTTCCTTAGCACGGCAGAGTCCGGCCGCAAGAAGGAAACAGGGATCGAGTTGCTCGATCAGTCGCGATCGAGCATCGAAAATGGTCCGTACTGACCGAAACTAGAGTCCCTTTATACTGAGAGTCAAGACAGTGTGAATCCATTTCTGATTGGTTCCCGTTTTTTAGGCCTTCACAGTGTCACAAACGGGAATAAAGATTACAGTTTCACCGATTGCAAAGATTATAATCTGGAATGGACCGGGGAATTACGGGTTCGGCAAGGAACAAACGGAATGAGGAAGGGAACGAAGAGAGGAATTCTAGAATGGGCCGATCAAAGATTACGAAAAAAGTTCAATTTCTGTAATCTTCATTCCCGTTTGTGACTCCATGAGGGGTGTTGTCTTGACTCTCATTATAAAGGGACTCTAACCGAAACGCGTCTGCGGAAAAATAATTAAAAAACGTGCGAGTGAGTAAACAATTTAACTTTTAACTTTTTAAATCATTTTTTTGGGCGGTGAAGCTCCCTCGAAAGTATTTAGGAAACAGGGACACTCACCGAGAGGCAGGATGATGAAGAAGGGACACCAGCAGAAGAAGAAGCCGCCGACGACAACGCTGAGCGTTTTGGCGGCCTTCTTCTGGTAGTGGAACTTGGCGGCCCGTCGCTCGAAGCCGGCCATGAAATGCTTGCAGGCGTCGCTGCCACGCGGGAGGTGCAGGTGGTGTTTCGAAGGCGCTTCTCCGGCTCCCACCATACCCGGCGGCTTCAGCTCCGAAGGCGACGCTGCCAGCGACATGCTCGACTCCTGTCAACAGCCAAAAAAGATCCAGGTGTTAGCATATGCATCAATACGTGAACGCATTAACTGTCCCGACGTTAGTCTGCTCATTAGTTGGAAAATAATGGTATTTGTCTACATCAATTCACACTTTCCGCTTACAAAAAACCAGAGTCTGCACCAGTGCTAAATTATTTTCGGTTTATTCAACGATGGAAATTTCCGGTGGACTAACTGGATTGCATTTTGCAAAAAGGAACCACTAGCATTGCAATGTTGCTAAGATTGTGCAACGTCTTTTGTCTTGGAGGAATAACCCGACTATCCACTAATAGTTTATATTTTACTCGCTAAAAACTGTGAATTTAAGACAAAAATTACCATCTAAATTTCATAGTTTTTCACGATTTCCGTAATTTTATTGCAAAGGATGAGGTTGCACAATCTTAGCATCATTGCAATGCTAGTGGTTCCTTTTTGCAAAATGCAATCCAACTGTACACCAGTGTGAAACCAAGTTCTAGCTACCTGCCAAATGAAAAGGTTGATGTCAATGCCACATTTGGCTCAAGTTGATACTGGTTTTTACCCGAGCGAGAAGTATATGACAAGTGTTTAACATATGTAAAAATGTGTTTAAACCACGAACATTTATTTCTACACTCATGATTTATAGTACCTGCCCTATTCGATACATCAGACAGGCTTTTTTCGTCCTGTCGTTGAGATTGTATCGATATTGATTGGTTCAACACATAGCCTCAAAAGCCCCCCCCCCCCCTGCTGGTTTATTGACTTATATTCGGTCAGGATCTACAGCCATCGATAGACAAGATTTAGTGTTAGCCTCAAAATTCAATCGAATAATTTGTGAGAACTGGTTTTTGTAACCGATTTTTTATTCTTTTGAGTACCACATGGCAGTGAAAAGTGAAATTTTTAGGAATTTCCTCTTTTTCAGCTTTTCTAACTTAGATCCTAAAAATTTTCTCGGAGGTTATGCTCCATTGTTTTGAACCAAACGATACTTGGAACCACTATCAAATACGATCCATTTTGGAAGCTTTCGATGTATATGTTCAACGAATCCTGCGTGAAATTTTGATAGGAAAACACGCACTGTATTATTTAATTTTCCGTTCAGTGGTCCATTTTATGAAAAATTGGAAGCGAAAGATTCACAAGACTCCCGAAAAATAGTATTTTATCGAAGCAAAGTTGGCAACGTTCGAAGGCTCATACGGCTTTCTTCCTTAGCGCGGCGGCGTGAATTATCGATCCGCAGGGATGGCGCCAACTGGTTCGGTTCGGGTGGCGAATTGGAGCAGCTCGTAAGCTCAACCGGTTCGAGGCTACACTTGCGGCGAAAATGAAGTTGATTCAGTTCAACGGATCGTTAATTTACGGCCCCTTACGTCAATATTACGCCCATCGCAAACCGGGCGCCGTGCTTTTATCGCTCCTACATGTGCCCGCTCGGTGAATCTGCCCGTCTCAGGAATGCCGTGATAGCGAAGAGAGCAGAAAGTGCAAAAATGAAATTTTGAGAAAACGGGCTCAGAAGTTTTCTGACCGGAAAATTTTATTGAAGTAAGCCTCCGTTCTTTGTTAAATTGCCACTAACTATCCGAAAAACTCCAAGAAGTCGTTTGAATGTTAAAAAATCAATTGAATTTATTTCAATTACATATGATGTAAAAAGGGTATTTTTCATTTCCATGCTAGGTTATTATTAGGCAAGACAGCCGTAAGTGCTATCTTCTGCATGCTTTCGTGGTTTCGTTTTGGACCCATAAAAAACACATTTTCAGGTTAGAAATTGGCAGAAGAGGGATTGTATGTCACATAGTTGTATGAAAAACATCCATGAAAAACCTGGTCGATAAACGGTTTTCGAAAACTCTACGGAGTCACCCTAGCAAGCCGATTACTGAAATTGTTGGGCAAAGCTATAGACAAAGAAGACAAAAGGGATGCGGAGGGACCCTATCGGTGCACGTGGGTAGCTGCAATGGACAAAGGAGATAGGTAATAGACTGACGAACGGCAACCCACAAGAAACCCTTCAGTTAGTCCACCGTTTCCCCCTTCAGTCTGTGAGAACAACCGATTTCAACCAATACCCCTTTATAATACTCCATACCCCCATGTCTTCTTTGTCTATTGCTTTGTCTATCAATTTCGATAATCAACCCGCAGATGAGGTGAAAGGCCCAGCTACACGTCGGAAAGCGCATCGCGAGACGAAAGAGAATGCAAAGCGAACGTGTCTACGTCACCGGCCGTCGCACAGTGGATCGAGCCTACGGGAGAGGTGGGACAAAATTTGGACACTTAAAAAGCTTACAGCTACTCCATTCATACAAAACTTTGAGGTTACAGAAGTGGTTCGATTGGTTTCCTCGTGGAATTTTCTTTTGGGAGCACCCCTTATTTGAAATGTAACGAATGGATATGTTGCATGTGTGAAGGATTTGCAATTTGACTGGTGATTCTTCTGTAAAAGTTCGCGAGAAATACGATGGTGCCACTAGTTTTCTCTGAAATCATCTCCTAAACTCAAAAAAAGCTCTCAAAGTGAGGCCAAAATGGAGGGGATATCCCACCCTACCCTGAGAGCCCACCTCTACATCAAAACAAACTCTCCATGCAAAGATAGGGAGCAAATACATTAGCAGGGTTGCCGTGTTTTCAGTTTTGGAGTCCCCAAATAAAGTGGCAACCCTGCTAATGTATTTGCTCCCTGTCTTTGCATGGAGAGTTTGTTTTGATGTAGAGGTGGACTCTCAAGGTAAGGTGGGATATCCCCTCCATTTTGGCCTCAATTTTAGAGCTTTTTTTGAGCTCGGGAGTTGATTTCAGAGAAAACCAGTGGCACCATCGTGTTTCTCGCGAACTTTTACAAAAGAATCAGTGGTCAAATCGCAAATCCCTCACACATGCAACATATACATTTAGCATCAAAATCCGCAGTTTTTGTAAAAAAAATTCATAACCGATCGCTATGATTGACTCGATCCACTGTGCGTCGCGTAAACGCTCGACGCATCGGCAAAGTTCAGACTGCCCGATTCGGATCTTGAGGTGAGTGGTCACTGCCCACTGGTCAACGGTCATTCCCGCGCCCCAACTTGGTCGGCGAACCGAAGTAATGACAGTCGCCTTGAACTGGACTTTGTTTACTGATCCTACTCCTCGGAATAAACCTCTAGATCGACGCCGAGACTCAAAAGTTGCTCAACGCCCCGCATTCTCGACTATTAAATGCCGTTCTGAGGATAAAAGTCGTATGAGCCATACTGCCATGCTAAGGAAGAACGCCGTATGAGCATTCGAGAGCTGCCTTTCCCTCGGTCAAATGTTTACTTTAGGGAAAAGTTGTGAATGTTTTTCCTTCAAATTTTCAGGAATTTCCGCCGCCATTTTATTTTTTACAGAAAAATTGTTGGTTGAATCTGTTTGAAAATTTCACTGAATTTTATCGGCAGCACAAAAAAAAAAAATTCAGTAAAATTTTCGGAAATCTTCGTTGAACGATTTCTCTGTAAAAAAATAACCAAAATTTTGAAACTTCGCATGGCACTTGGGATACTTCAGCCGGAAGGTGACGAATTGCTCAAATGAAAAATCGGAGCGAGAGAAGATTTTGTCCAAAAAGGCGAGGAATTATCGAATCGGTTTATCCACGCACTTCCGCATGCATGTGACTCGCAGTTGCAGCTACGCAAGCGCACAATTCGCTGTTGCCAAATTTTGTTCACTCAGCCAAGTTCTAGTTCATAAGACAAGAAATTCTGGTTCCATTCCAGAACTCGTATTTTGGTTTACACAGCTAGTATTACGGTGGATCCGATCGAGAAAACTTGCTACCAGTATCAGCGATGTTCAAGGGTACGCACTAGAATTTTGATGCGGGGAAAAGCGGAAGAACCATCAATTCGTGCTAAGGAGAAACGTCGTATGAACATCTAGATGTTGCCAACTTTCCCGTTATGAAATATTCATTTTCGAAAAATGTTATGAATCTTTTTCTTTGAAAGTTTCAGATGCTAAAAGGTAAATTCCGAATGATATTTTCTGAGAAATTGGGGGAAAATATCCATAAGTTTTCCCAAAAATTCTTGATTTTATTGAAGTAAATTTAGCAACGTTTAAAGGCTCATACGACATTTTTCCTGAGCAGGGCAGAATATGCTCACCAAGAAGTTATTCGTGCATAGGTATCAGTTGAAACATTTTTCGGTAGATTGATAACCCGATGATTTCACAGTCTCTTAAAATAGATTTACCGGGTTCTCGAGAATTTCACCTAGGTATCAAGTACTTACACCTCTCCCCCCCTTTTTTTTTGTTTTGGACCTTTTATGCCGTACTGCCTCCTTTCCAGGAATTATGTATTCTTCATTTTGATGAAACTATAAAAAATACCTTGTTCCATAAAATAAAGTCTGTAAGATTACTGAAACTTGAGATAAAATTACCATTATATACAGATTATAGATTATTAATCATTATATATAGGTGCAACATATTCGGCTGAACAAAAGTTCAAATAAAATTACCAATGAGACGCTAAAATCACAGGGAATATTGTAAACTAATTGGAGACATTACTTTGTTAATAGCAGTGATAATTTTAAAAAAACTTAAATTCATGGAAATTTTCATCGATAGAATTGTTTACTTCTAGATTAACGTGAATTGGTTTAATAATAGTTGGTATATTTTCTAAAAGAGCACAGATTCCATTTTCATCATAATTAACAGAAGCTATAAAAGCACCTACCCCAGTTTCGGCCCTCGTCCACTCTTCTACCCTAGGAACACTTTCCTTTTCAAAAATTTAGAGTAAAATTGCACAGTCTTAAACGGCCCTTTGGCATTTGCTGCTCTTTGGCAAGGCATTATAAGCGTAAATTACAGTGGCGTGGCGTGCTTTGCGATTTATCGATTGTCATGCCATTTAAACCTATGGCAAGGGATCGATAAACAGGGTGTTCGCAGCGAACACTTCAATAATCGATTCT